TTTTCTGTCTAACACGTGTAAATGACTGGCTTGTCAGTGGATGGTTCCTGTCTTTGTTATTCTTCTATGTGTGGATCGCTGTTAGAGGCATAAACATCCCATAAACAGTGCTTTTTAAAAAATAAATGGTTGTGTTTCTCAAAAAATTACATGGGTTAGGTTATGTGGTCAATGTAGATGCAAATAAGGACAAAGGAAATTAAAAACATTGAAGTTTAAATCATGAAGGGTCGACATTATTGAAGAACTATGATTTAATAATATTTCCTAACAAGAACATTTTTGTGACATTTAAATAAATCCCATATATCTTAAAACTCTTGGTATATCAGGTTTGTTTACCACACTGATGAATTGGCAATAGCATTTAGATGAAAATAGATTCACAGCTGTCTCTGGAGTTAACAGGTCTAAAATTGAATCACAGAAGCATGTGGTGTCCCAAACTGGAAAAACAATTCCAAAATACAATGATATGTCAGCATGAATTTGTCACACGGACCGTTTAACTGAACTGATTGGTACACAAGGTGCATTTTAACCTTACAGTTGATAGCACCAAGGAATAAACAAATTAAGGGTTCATCATGAGGATACCTGTTTACTCATTGTATTGACTTTACACAAGAGCTCAGAAAGGTAACAGAGGGTTGGTTTATGTATTCATAGATTTTGTGACCATTCTGCTTCAGTTTGTAAAAAGATGCCTGTGCTTGAAAGCTGACAAAATAGAACATGTAAAAGTCCAAAGCATAAACAGTTGTTCGCTATCATGAAGGTGGTATATTATTATTATTATTATACAGGATTTATATAGTGCCAACAGTTTGCACAGCGCTTTACAAAATTAAGGTAGATATTACAGTTACAATACAATTTGGTACAAGAAGAAAGAGAGGGCCCTGCTTGTTAGACCTTACAATCTAGGTACATTCTATTATCCAGTCTTTCAATCATTATGATGTCTGGGAAATTTTTATTTACTGATATTTTTCTATAGTTAGTCCAGTTAGAAAGCAATATATGCAAAATCGTATAATATGTTGGTTGATGTTTTGTACCTAAACCTTTTTGTAGATAGTTGCAAGGGGATCAGTGGTTTCTGTTCTGCTTCCTCAGTTTTCCCTTGTGGCTGGCCTTTGAGATTTACAACTTGTGCTTGCCTAGAGAGAGCCAAGGATGCCTTTATCATTTATCTTGTGTGTCACCAGGGTTTCTGATTATTTGTTCAAAGGTTTTCAGAGCTTTTATATTTTTGTTGTACAAAGTCACTTTCTTGGATACTAGAAATCTTTTGTTCAGTTCTTGAAAAAGCACAAAAAAGCGTAAGCAAATGTTGTATTATGTTCTTACTGCAATATTATCATCTGGGAGTGTATCTATCATTAGATATTTCCAGACAATCATGTGCTAGGAATATCTATACTATCAGTCCTTTTTTGAACTTGGGTTTAAAGCAGTGGTTCTCAACCTTCCTAATGCCGTGACCCTTTAATACAGTTCCTCATGTTGTGGTGACCCCCAACCATAAAATTATTTACCCAGTAATGATAATTCATGAATGTCGTTTTACCTCCAATACTGCTGCTTTCAACACAGTAGCTGCTTTTAACAGAGTAGCTGCTTTCAACACAGCAGCTGCTTTCTACACAGTAGCTGCTTTTTACACATCGGAAATATGTGTTTTCTGATGGTCTTAGGGGACCCCTGTGAAAGGGTCGTTCGACTCCCAAAGGGGTCGCGACCCACAGGTTGAGAACCACTGGTTTAAAGCATAGCTAAACCCAAAAGTAATAATGTATTTTATGGCAAATTTGGTGGCTGCATTATATTTTTTTCCCTTCATTTTCACCTGGTAATCTGGCCAGGTAAACTTTAAAGGAAGTTTTATTTCAACTTCCTTTAAAGCGGAACTAACTCTTCAAATACACACCTCCCCACCACCTGTCCAATGCCTGCAAGGTCTCTTGCTGGTGCCTGCCGCTTCTGTTCACCTTCTTCATGGTGCCGGGTCTTTAACTATTATGGTTGACCAGCATGGGAAGACATAACTTTTGGGTACACACAGGCACTGGTACATTGTAAAAAAAACAGCAAAACAAACAGTTTATTTTATTGCAGAAGAGGCACAATTTCTCATCTGCTTCAGTTTGTCATTTTGTACCTTTATTTCCCACTTTAACAAACCAAGCTGTCGAACAAAAGTGGCAGTAAGACAGTTGATTTAAAGCACATAACACTGACAGGGATGATTACAATGGTCAGCTTTTACAATATTAATTTAAGTAATAAAACTTTGTCCCAAAACCAAAAAGAGCTGTTCCTGTAACTGCTAAAAAGTGTTAGCTAGAGTCTGGTTTTAATTTGTTAGTGAGGTCCACCTATATCTGCTAGTGTATCTAAGACTACCCTCTACCCAGATTGACAATGTGTTGTCCAAGGGTGGCTTAATTAATCCTCCATAGAATGAAGCCCCCTAAGACAGGAAGTTTGTTACTGGCCATATTACCAGATTACCATAAAGGGAAAAAAACCCTAAAAATTAAAAACAGTGCAGCCACCGCATGTTTGGATTGATATGCTGCAATATATTACATTTTTTTATTTTGGGTTTGGACACATTTTAAATAGATTGTTTTGATGTTCCTAAGTTCCTACGGTCCAGTCCTAATTTATTATTTCACTCTGTGATTTAACCACCTTCCTACCACCATATTATAAAAAATGTTTGGGAGGTGGACATCCATTTTTGAAGTTCTGTTCTTGTGACTCTTCAGGAATTACTCTTAGGTAGCCATTGTTCCCATTAATAGCTGTGAACCTAGTTATCATAGATACAGTTGGGTTGATTTCATAAAGTTGGAAAGTTTTCATATTCCATGTTTTTTTGTCAAAGCTTAATTGAACAAGCTGAAGTTAGAAGCTGATTGGCTACCATGCACAGCTACACCAAATTTTGCACTGTCCAGTGTTATTAAACCAACCCCAGAGTACAGAGCTGATCTAAACCATATGATCATCGTGATGATCGATATCCATGATAACAAATATAAACAGTGCCACTATGAGTACCACAGTAATTATTATTATATTATTATACAGTATTTATATAGCGCTAAAAGGTTTGCTCAGCACTGTACATTATAGTGGGGGACAGAACATGAGACAATACAGTAGTAAAACAAAACACGAGGGGGTCAAGGGCCCTGCTCTTTCGATTTCTTTCTCTTGCTCTGTGTTTGAGCTATGATGTTGTAATATCTAGTACACCATTACCAAGCTCCATGTTTAAACCACCTCAGTACCAGCATTTTTCTTCATTTCCAAAAAACTGTGACAAAAAATTGGATCACCTTGGGGTGTCTGCTTGTCCTGGCATTTTTATTTGCCACCTTTATAAAGAAAGGTTTATTTTTCCTTTATATAGTAACAAAAAACAGCAGTTAATAAATACCACCAACATAAATTTCTTACTGTCTCAAAACTGATATACAATTTCTTTGGGTACATTAATCCATGTCTGTGTATGTTTCAGTCCAAATTACAGCACCGAAAAGAAAACTGGTAATGGAGGAGTATATACTCTACAGTCTGGCACTCAGATAATATTTAGGAAAATAGTATGCTTTCTTATATCTTTTAATATTGTATGTATTTTGTGAAAACCATGATTACATGTGTTTTGCTGTATTAAATCTGCTTCAATAATATTTTGTGTGATTCACACTGGGTACTTTCCATGATTGTTATTGTATGTACTGTATATAGACACATGACCAGGCACAAACATACCTTATTCATTTGTGTAGCCATAAACCAGGCTTATAACAACCTATCTGTGGTAATCAGAAATGATCAATCATGACAGATGTCATTAAAATGCAAAATGACTTTTTTTTTTTTAACCTGAAACATTGATACAGTTATCCTACTCTCCAGGGATTGTAGATACAAGTTTGTGACTTTTGATATGCTTCCATAGCAACAGTTGCTTTTGTAACCCTTAGTTTACTAATGATGCTTACATATACCAATATCTCTACCGAAAGTCTTTGCTAGAAATAGAACATTTTCACCTTTCATACCAGCAGGGTAAAAGTTGATATATTTTGGAACAAAGCACAGTCCCTACGCTTGGTTTAGCTAAATTAATGAGATTCTCTCCTGTTGGCTATTGATTAAAGCAACCTTCTCCTTCCTTTATACCCCTGTTAGCTTGCCTTAAAAGTCTTCACATGACCTAAAAGGTCTCTGCTCACTCAGGCAAATTCAAGAAAGAATGTCACTGAGCAATGATTTACTTATCTTTTAAACAAATAAATATATCATTATGGTGTCTAAAATATTTAAAGGAAGCATAATTATTATTAAGATTAGAATATTACATGACTATTATAAAATGTATTATTTTTATATTTTATATTAAAAATACTAATATATATACACAATATATTGCCAAAAGTATCGGGACTCCTGCCTTTACACACACATGTACTTTAATGGCATCCCAGTCTTAGTCTTTAGGGTTCAATATTGAATTGGCACACCCTTTGCAGCTATAACAGCTTCAACTCTTTCTGGTAAGGCTGTCAGCAAAGTTTAGGAGTGTGTCTATGGGGATGTTTGACCATTCTTCCAGAAGTGCATTTGTGATTTCAGGCACTGATGTGGGACGAGGAGGCCTGGCTCACAGTCTCAGCTCGAATTCATCCCAAAGGTGTTCTATTGGGTTGAGGTCAGGACTCTGTGCATATCAGTCAAATTCCTCCACCCCAAAATCGCTCATCCATGTCTTTATGGACCTTGCTTTGTGCACTGGTGCGCAGTCATGTTGGAACAGGAAGGGGCAATCCCCTTCCTGTTCCAGGAAGGGGATTGCCTTCCTGGAAGGCAATCCCCTTGGTATGCTGACGCCTTAAGAGTTCCCTTCACTGGAACTAAGGGGCCAAGCCCAACCCCTAAAAAACAACTCCTCACCATGATCTCCCCAAAACCAAACTTTTCACTTGGTATAATGCAGTCAGGCAAGTACTGTTCTCCTGGCAACTGCCAAACCCAGACACCTCCATTGGATTGCCAGACAGAGAAGTGTGAATCGTCATTTCAAAGAAAACATCTCCGCTGCTTTAGAGCTTTAGTGCTTTACACCACTGCATCCGACGCTTTGCATTGCACTTGGTGATGAAAGGCTTGGATGCAGCTGCTCGGCCATGGAAACTCATTCCGTGAAGCTCTCTACACACTGTAGTTGTGCTAATCTGAAGGTCACACAAACTTCAGAGGTCTTTAGCTATTGACTCTGCAGACAGTTGGGACTTCTACGTTCTGTGTGCTTCAGCATGCGCTGACCCCACTCTGACATTTTACGTGGCCTACCACTTCATGGCTGAGTTTCTGTTGCTCGCAGTTGCCTCCACTTAGTTCTAATACCACTAACAGTTGACCAAGGAATATTTAATAGCAAGGAGAATTCACAGATGGACTTATTGCAGAGGTGGCAATGTATCACGGTACCATGCTTGAATTCACTGAGCTCCTGAGAGCGACCCATTCTTTCACAAATGTTTGCAGAAGCAGTCTGCATGCTTAGGTGCTTCATTTTATACACCTGTGTCCATGGAGGTGATTGGAACATCAGAATCCAATGATTTGGCAATATAGTGTATATATACTGTATATATATATATATATATATATATATATATATATATAAAAACATTCACATCAGTCCCCAACCCTCAAGGAGCGTACAATCTAAGGTCCCTAATTCACATTTGTATTCATACATACACATACTAGGGTCAGTTTAGACAGGATCATAAATATAGATATATATTGTATATACTGTCTATATCTCAGTCAGTAGAGCTGAGTTATATGGGTAAGTCAAATCACTTACAAAATGTTTTCTCGTTGGTTACTTGGCTTAAAGTTATTTTTTTATCCTCTGTGCTGTAGCTTACTGACTAGAGCCCTGGTAACACTGGATGCAAATTTGCATGCCATGTGACTTGCAAATTGCATGCCAAATTGCAACCTATTGTCCACAATTAGAGTGGTCATATCGGTGCGGTCCCGACTTGGTCAGCGCCGCATTGATTTCTAAAGTAGTACATGCACTACTTTTGGTGAGATTTGCATAGACATCTGTATCAGATGCCTTGCAAATCGCACCTAAAATCAGCATTTCATCCAATTTTGAAATCGTGCGACTTCACTAAGTAAGACTGACACTTTTTTTATTCTTCTGCATGTTTTTATTAATAGGGCATAATTACTTTTGGTTTGATGGTGTATATTATTTGCAAAATAGAGGGGTGGCCATGGGAGCCAAGTTTGCTCCCAGTATGGCCAACCTCTTTATGGCTAGGTGGAAGGAGGAAGTTATTTACAAGCAAGGTTGTCCACAGGTAATACTCTGGAAAAGATATATAGAAGATGTTCTTCTTATTTGGGAAGCGGAGGTTGATTCCTTAAATGAATAAATTGATCTCATCTCTGAATAATGATGATAGGGGGATTGCCCTTCAACAAGAGTCAAGTAAAGAAGAGATCCATTTCAAAATAAAAGGAGACAGGGTTGTTAGCTCTACTTTTTTCAAAGAGACTGATAGGAATAGTTTCATTGATTTCAATAGCTGCCATCACTCTACCTGGCTTAGGTCTGTACCAAAAGCCAGTTCCTTAGGCTCAAAAGGAATTGTACCAATCACAATGATTTTATACAGGAAGTTAATCGGTTAAAGCAACAATTTGAGGAAAAAGGTTATGACTCTAATTTATTAGATAAAGCATTTGAGGATGTGGATAGGAGAGATAGGTCAGATGTGTTACTCCCTAGGCCAAGACAGGAAACTAATGCATTATTTAAATATTCTTTTGTTACATTTTATTCTACCCAGCATTATGATGTTAAAAACAATTTTCATAAACGTTGGAGGGTATTATGTAATGACAGAATTTTGGGACCTCTGCTTCCAGAGGCACCCCCTGTCATTTTTAAGGGAGCACCTCTATTGAGGTTTTATGTTGCTCCTAATGTTATAATTCCACCAAAGAAATCCTCTTTTTTTCAGGTCTCACAGGTTATTTTCCATGTAGGAAATGTTCTGTTTGTAAATTTAATACATGTAAAAGTAGGAAAATGGAGGATTTTCAATCTACGGTTACACAGAAATTCTATGGGATTAAAACCTTTTTGAGCTATACCACTAAGAATGTGATTTATTTGATTCAATGTCCATGTGGGTTCCAGTATGTTTGACGCACTGTAAGAACACTACAAATTAGACTAATAGAACTTATCGCTAATATCAAGAAAGGTTTTCCTAACCACAGTGTCTCGAAACACCATGCTTTACATCATGATGGGAATCCTGAAGGAACCCTGTTTATAGCTATTGATAAGTTTTTCTAAGAACTGGAGAGGTAGTCACATCAAATGGGAGATTTGTCAGACAAGTTTCAAAAACAGTAAGACAATGTTATTTAAGATTCAAGACAATGTTATTTAAGATTTCCTGTGAAATATATTGTTGACTGTAATATCTTTAGTAACCACAAGATGGCGCCCATAACTGTCAGCGCAATGACTATGCTTAGGTTTAGATTCAATTGGCCAATATTGCTAATCCTATGTTTTTATTTTTTTTATTTTTAAGATCTTTTTTAATTGTGGATTCTTTTGAATCCATATTAATGTTTCAGTTTTGGTTGTGTAATTTGTTTTGGGCAGGATATATTTATCTTGTTCCACTTCTTGCGGTTCTGGCTGTTGGTTATTATTAGAGGAAGGGTTTCCTTCCCCTATAAAATAGTGTGACGTCTAGACGCAGGCCATGCCCCTGAGACATCACTGATCATGAAATGCATTGGATGGAGCCAGAGCACGTGACATCATCACACCAAAACATGGCGGCCATCATAATGGTTGGAAACAAATCATTTTTTGGATATGGTGACATGTTGTTTTAACTATTATATGAAATATATGTATTACTGCATTTGAGGCATTAAAAATTAGAAAATTACTGCACTATGAGGATTTAATTTTTCTTTTAAACTGGATTATCCTCCACAGGGATAATACTTATTTTGGTCTATCCATAAAGTTTATATTGAAGACCAGGACCCTTAAGGATTGTATACAAGTCCACTGTTTACTTCCAGGAAGCACACAGCGCATATTGACCTTTCTTTTTGGGGGTCAATATTATCCTGTAAGAGGTTGCGTGATTGGTGTTGGTGAAGAATTTTTTTTCCTCTTGGTGGTCTCCTGGGAACCTGCCGGATATCTGTTGGGTCTTGATTGATGAACTTTTTTCACATAAAAAATACTTTGGATTGGACTTTTTGTTATATTAAGAATGTTTGAAAGAGTTTGTTTTAGTGCTACACTTTCTGTATATATTTATGTTTTTATTAATATTCACCTAACCGTTATGCTATCCAGACACACTGGCGTGAAATTATAAAAAGTGGTGCTGCTAGCACAATGCTTGCACAATGCTTCCAAACTTAGAAAATGAAGCAGCCATTGCTCCCAAAAAAACAAAATGGGAGCAAGTCCTTTTGTTTCCCCCAACCACTCTACAGCAAAACTACTGCTTCAGGGCCGCAGGGCTGCGTAAAATCACACTGTCGATCACCGGGTCCCAGCCAAAGATTCCCTGCCGGCACCTGGCAATCGCTGAGGAACACTGATGGAGGAGGGGTCTGTATGTAAACAATACAGATCTCCCCCCTGTCAGCTCCAGCACGCTGCTTTGTATTGCAGTAAGCAGTGTGCTTACACAACAATACACAAAAAGCACACAGTTAACCCTTTGATTGCCCCAGATGTTAACCCCTTCCTGCCCAGTGTCATTAGTATAGTGGCAGTGCTATTTATTGGCAATGATCACTGTATTAGTGTCACTGGGGATGTCAGTGAAAGTTAGTCAGTCCCCCCCCAGTGTCAGAATGCCCGACGCAGTCCCGCTATAAGTCGCTGATCACTGCCATTACTAGTATAAAAAAGAAATTCCAGTATATATATACCCCCCCATTTGTGGACACTATAACTTTCACATAAACTAATTAATTTACACGTATTCTGATTTTTTTTTAGCAAAGACATGCAGCAGAATACATTTTGGCCTACATTTATGCCGAAATTTTTTTAATTATTTTACTGGATATGTTTTATAGCAAAAAGTCAAAAACATTGGGTTTTTTTTTTCAAAATTGTCTGTCTTTTTTTGTTTACAGCTCAAAAAAAACAAACAAACACAGAGTTGATCAAATGCCACCATAAGAAAGCTCCATTTGTGGAAAAAAAAGGACATAAATTTTATTTAGGTGTGGGGTTGCATGACCGCGCAATTGTCAGTTAAAGTGACACAGCGCCGTGTCACAAAAAATGGCCTGGTCAAGAAGGGGGTGGGGGTAAATCCTCTGGAGGGCAAGTGTTTAATATGGACTAATCTGCTCCATGTTCTCTGCTGTGTCTGACAGCTGTAGAGAACAGTACAGCTGGAGCTGAATCATCTCGATTCCTCTGCCCCTCCACCTCTGTTTAGTTGAGTGCAGGAAGAAGTAGGAGAGCTGTGCAGGCTCTCCAGAAACAGAGGGGGATGTGCTCTACTCTGACATCACACAACACATATACCAGCTCTAGCCTGGTAGGGATCTGTGGCAGTTTTCTATACTGAGAACTGCCACAATTTCTTTGTTAATTGGTCACAGAATACACACCAGTTTCTATTTCACTATGAAATTGAAACTAGCATGGGTGGAGTAGATAAACCTAAAAGAGGTCTATATACTTAATTATTGTGATGCACACCACTCCAGACAGTTTTCTGGCACAGGAAACATTGTTAATACTGTCCATTGAGGGGAAATACTAAGACTGGAGCAGCCAGAATCTGAAGCAGTTGTACATGGCAACCAATCAGTTTCTAGCTTTTATTTTCAAAGCTTAACTGAACAAGCTGAAGCTAGAAGATGTTTTAGTTACTGTTCAAAGCTGCTCCAGATTCTTTCTGCTTCAGTTTTAGCAAAGTCCTCAGACAATTTTTTTCTCCTACTATTAACAGAACTCTCCATAGAAATTAGACTTAGTTTCATTGACTGCTGAATCTGAGTAGTATAGAGGGATAATGTTGATGTGCCATTGTGTGATGAATCACTTTAATAAAAGGATGACTTCATTTTGTCCTTTTAAATGCTTTTTAAAGTTCAAATTGCAATCAGTGCGAAAATACATTGATGCAGGGGATAGTAGAGAATGAAAGTACCTTAACTAGTTTTCAGGTTTTATTTATCCTTATGCTTGTATTGAAAGTAAACAGTTCAGAAGCAGTGGAATCTGCCATCCGCAATCATAAAACACATTTTTGCATAAAACATTGGTTGCAAGGCAGCTAATTACCCATGTTTAGCTAACATTTAATTATATTTAATGTGGCAGCACAAGAGAGTTGTCAAGCAGCAAAATTAGAGTTTGCAATAAATTATATCAGAAAATGAGAACTTACCAATAGAACAAAGTACAAATACAGACAAAAGTAAACTGAATTTAATTATTTTGTTGCCATTCTGAAATAC